GACATACACTCACTTGCTACACTCAGAGTGAGCGAGAGAGCAACAAAGTCTTAAGAGAGTGTGTGAGTGGGAGAGGAAGGAATTGGGTCACCATAGGCCAAACTCATGCCTGGAACTGTTCAAGTTTCAGGTTGGTTTTCGTTTCCTTCATTCTTATTGTTTTACCAGAGAGATAAAATGGCTAACATTAAAGAAAAAAGAACAAAAAAAATATAACATTAAGAAAACGAGAGATGAATGGTTACTCGATGTTGCAGTTCTGGAGTTGGCAGATCTTCCTCCATCTCTCCTTGGTAATTTTGAAACTTTCTCCCTCTTCTGCTTTTGAGTTTTGCAATGATTTGCTAGCATTTGATACTTTTTTTAGAACACCCTGTCTTTTTCTCTCTACTGATTCTTTCCTTCTCTCTTTTGTGTTTTGTATTTTTTGAAATTGGGGTTTCCCAGTATCCATTGAATACTGTTTCTTTGACTCTTAATTTGTCCACTGTATGACGCCTCTCTCTCTCTCCTTCTCTCCACAGGATCAGAGGGGAATCACATATGCATAAGGGGTGAGCAATACGTTACTATCTTGGCCATCTTCAGTGCTGAATGTTCTAAAAATTCTTTCATACGATTTGGGAGGCTTGCTCTTGTTTTCATGTCCGCATTTTGCAGTTGCAATTGGGAAGCAGCAATGCGAGACAATGCTCCATACATTCATGGAAGTGTGGAAACTGGGGGAAGCTTGGGTATCAGTATTGTAAGCAAAGGACCCACCTTTCTTCTCTCTGTTTCTCTCTCTCTCACTCTGTCTCTCTCTCACTCTCTCTCACTCTCAAACATTTTGTGTGCCTACAATTTGTAACCAAAGGACTCTCTCTCTCTCTTGGTGCTAATCATTTGAGCAATTCTGCTCTATGCTGTGCAGTCCAGTTCTGAATCTCCGGGACAGTTTGGTTATCAAATTCATTGATAGAGAGAAAGAGATAACTCAGACGGGTAACAATGCTTTTGAAGTTCACATATTGTTGGTATGTTTACTGGTTTGAATGTCTGTTTTCTCCTTCTCTCAGAAATTGGAACCCTGTCAATTGTAGAGCGAGGAAATTGGGAGGATTTATTCGAGTTAATGGGTGGTGGGCGAATTCATCTAAAGCTCCAATTTATCCTTAGTGATGAGGAAATCCAGAGGGTTAAAGCCATGGCAAGTATTCTCAATATGTATCCATGGATCTCAGATGGTCACTTAAATACTATGATATCTATTGATTTAAAAAAAAAAAATTATGATATCTATTTATAAAGAAACATAAAGATCACTGATGGCTTACCAACTATGTGTGACGTATTTATCTCACCTCTGAGTTTGTGAAAGGCCAGCTATGAATACTATATTTTCTCTTTGTGTTGTTTGCAGAGAGAAGCAGCATTGAGAAAGAGAGAAGATGAGATTTCTAAGATGGGTGTTACCATCGAGTTTAGAAGAAGCACAAATACTTGCAATTTAGCCGGTAATTTTTGGTGCTTCATGGATATTTTGATTCTCACGAAGTTTTTTATAGTACTTAGTCTTTGCAGACTGTAGTGGCCACATCTGCTATTTTGCAAATCTTATCAAGACTTGCTGGAGAGTGATACCAAAAACATAATTACAACGGTTGCTCTGGCTGCTGTGAAAGTATTAACCTCCCTTTTTGAATGTCCACCAGTTTTGGAGCCACTCGGTGGTGCCGAAGATTCAAGGGGACAAACTCCTGATCAGGGGCTTGAGAACCCCCAACAAGGAGTTAATCAAGGAAAGCCTCTCATTAAACTAGTAAAAAAGTCCCCAGTTAAGGTTTTTCTTTCATATTTATTATTCCATTCTCTCTTCGAATTCCTCCTCAAGAGAGAAACTAGGTTTTTGTTGGAGTTCCCTAATATATTCTTGTCATGTTTATGCAGATGGAAATGGTGGTTTTCCTCCTTCAACACCTGTATACGATCCCACTGATACAGATGCTTTCAAAAAAGTTGATCTGGCAGAGAAAGGTCATATCTCTACTGTACCTCCTTCAACACCTGTATACGATCCCACTGATACAGATGCTTTCAAAAAAGTGGATCTGGCAGAGAAAGGTTATACCTCTACTGTAAAGGAAAAGATCAAGGCTTTTGAGGGTGGTCGGGACTCTCAGGTGAGTCAACGAACACTATTAGTTGTGAATTGTTCATTTACATGCTAATTTATTTCTTCAATAATTGTACATGGTAATATAAGTATATTTTCCATCACATGTTAATATAAATGTCATCCATCAAAAAATAGCAATGTAAATGTGGAATGATTTCTTGGTGATGATCTTTGAGAGTGGTGCAGGTACACAAAACTCAGGCCAATCCTTCAATGAAATTTCAGCTCAGCAATATTGACTCGGAGAGTGGTACCTTGCAGGTCCCAAGCATAAAGGAAGAGGAAGCGACAAGTTTGTTAATGGAGATGGTCGGAAAACCAAGGAGGAAGGCTGTTAGGAAAGATGGTGTTGGAGAAAATAAGAAAGATAAAGTTTCCAAGGATGACTTGAATTTGAGGCAGTGCTTACCCATCAATGATTCCATGGTGCCTAGAAAAGGTGGGGAACATAATGCAGCAGAAGGCCCAAGGGCAACAGGTTCTTGTTCCTCCATTGAAGGAGGGACTGGAAAAGACACAAGGAGGTGGACTTTTAGGAGAGATGATGTTGGAGAAATGAGGAAGGCAGAGAAGAATCCTTTGTTATTGGAGGAAAGAAAGGTTTTGGAGGAGGAAACAGATTCAAGAAAGAATTTTCTACTTGATGAGCTCACAATGGGTGAAGAAGGACAAGAAACCAATGCAACAGAAGATCCAATAGCACTCAGTTCTCGTTGTTCTAAAGAGGAAACAATCCTACCCAATAAACAAGAGCAAATGAATTTAGCTGCTAATGATTTACATGAGGAATTGATATCAGAGGGTCATGGCAAAAGCTATAACACACTAAGCACTGTTGGGGATTGGAATAGAAGATACAATGCTAAGCAGTTGGAAGATTTCAGTGCAAAATCTGTCAAACTGATGGAATCTCGGGAAGAAATACACCATCCAAAACTAGTGGAAGCCGCTACCAGTTGTTCCTCTCTAGAACATGTGTCCACTGCTTTAACACATGGAGGAGCTGGAAGTAAAGGAGGACCTCCATTGGATAATTTCATTGGCGAATTAACAGTTTCAGAAGATCTGAGTTTTTTAAAAGAAACAGATACCAACCAAGAGCAAAGTCACATGAATTACAACATGTCAGTATTAGATGAAAAACCAAGTCAAAATACTGGACAAGTTCACCTAGATTCAGAATTTCCATCGAATTCGAAAACTCAGGTATCTCAGCCAAAGTTGGATAGCCTAATTGTTTCAGAGAAAACTCAGGATGAACGCAGTTCTAGAGAATGTGAGAACAGTAGAGTGGTTCCATTCAATTACAATTTGGACTTGGTAACTTCAGTTGAAGCTTCAGATGAAATAGGGAAACTACTAGCACTCACTGAAGTGGAGGATGAAATCTTTGGAAGTTTGGGAGATTGGATAATTACAGACAAATTAGGACCTAAATGTTTCACAACTGGGAGTAAGAAGTTGAGAAATTTGGCAGTGGTATGCGATGAAACCCTAGAAGTACAATCTGCAGAAACAACATGTACTGGGAAGGTACAATTCTCCATCTTCTCAATACAAATGTAATTGTCACTATTGCCTCTCTTGCAAGGGTTCAGTACCTTTCAGAATCACGCGGCTCTTGCAAACAATTTATTTGGCTGCACCAATGAGTTAATGGTTTTGTTTTCTTCCTATTCATCTTATTTTTTCAATTTAGATGTCAAGGCTCTAGGAGTCATTAGTTTAGAATGATTTTATTTTTTGGAAGAGCCTATTTAACCATCATTTTAGTTGCTTGTCATTTTCCCTACTTGATACTTGCACAAAGTCGGTTTTCTGATCTTCATCTGCTTGCCTAGGTCATTGGTCAAGGTTCACCAGATCCAAGGGACATTATGGAGAAAAGAGATTCTTGGAGTGTCATGCCCCTCCTTGATGTTGTATGCATTTCACACCCTCATAATGTATTTTCATATTGTAAGGAAAATGTCTAAGTAGCCTGAACATGCATAGAGGTTATATTGGTAATCATAAATATGTAGGTTTCGTTCTTTCTAATAATTGCAGGGGTTTACTTGAAAAGTATTAAGATATCCTTAGATGTTTTGAAATTTTATAACTGAGTGTACTTGAGAATAGCTAGAGGTCTATGTGGAGTGTTACCAATTTATTCCATAATTATTGTTCTCTCATACATTGTTGAGATGTTAATATTTCACTAAGAAATCATAAGAATATTATCTATAGGTTCTTCTAATTTATCCCATCATAGCATATATGTACCTTTCTAAAATTCTCATATCCTTAAGATGCACATTTCACTATCCATATGCAAAATGTTGACTGGAGATAGATTACTCGAATGCACGTTATTTAGTAGTATCCCAATGAGTTTTTGAACTTGTTCCATATCATTTATGGCTGAGCTGGGAATTCTGTGAAGAAGAACATACTTCAACAGTCAATGTTGCTTTTGCTTAAAGATGGAGTTGGAAGACCAAATAAGGATGGAATGTTGTAAATATTTCTATTACGCTCCTATATTTCCTTTTTCCTTCCTCCAATTTGTTAAGGCTACAATATAAATATGCAAATAGACATCACTTGACGAGGATCCTATTCTTTGCAACTCTTCTTAGCAGTTGTCATCAAACTACATTGAATTTACCCTGTAATTTCATCCATAAAGACTACATAGTATCAGGAGTCAGCCTGTGGAGGAGTAGATAGACTCCAAATATTAGAAAGTACACAAACATAGACAAATCCCTTTCACTATGTTAACAATTATATGTCAAATTTATGTTGCCGCATGAATAAATTTGACTTATTTGGATCAAGTTTCTTTGTTGGTGAATGTGGTTAATTTGAAAAATCTGGCATTATATGACTGCATATAGGTTTTCTAATGTTGGATCAAGAAATAGGAAACCTTGAAAGAATTAGGAACTCTAGAAAGAACTGTGTATAGACTTTGTAATTTAGTTCCCCAGGAAGCAATATGTTTTTCTTATGTTGAATTAGGAGCTGCATCAGAAAGAACCAATTGAAAAGAAGGCACATCTTATTCCTTAAGACCACCTCTAAATATGTTCATGATTACAATAGATTTACTTTTGAATTTGGAGACTGATAATAGGCTTTTCATCTAAAGACAACATGACAAGTTTCCCAACTCCTTTCGCCATCTACGTAATTGCTCAAGGAGGGAGGAGAAGGCCGTGCCACGCAATCCCTCTCTCATGGGAGAGGATAAGTCATCCTCTCCCTCGTCGTGGAAAAGGAGTCAAGTGGCTTATAGTTACGGCAATCATCCACCGTACGTAGTGATTCCATTTAAGAATCACGGTCTTGCTTTTCCTTGAGGGAATCGCCACAGATCCTGATTCTTGGAAGTTAGTAATTATCCCACATTTTTGTGAATCTTATTCCGATGTCTTTGGAATCTAGATTCTACCTCACCAAATTTTGCGATTCATAGATATTTAAATATTAGAATATTGAATCTAGATTCTAGATTCTACCTCACCAAATTCTACCTCACTGTGATACAACTAATATGAGACTTTGCTTTCAATTTTTAAAAATAGCAATCAGAGATATTTAAACATTAGAATATTGAAAGCAAAGTTTCATTTTGAAGTATATTTGAATTTATAATTTTGTATATTTTACACATACAGATACGAGTTCCCTAGCACGCTTTAACAAGTCACATGCTAAGTCTGTTTACACGCTTTAACAAGTCAAGTGGTATAATGATTGCCAAAATATTAGGTGACATAATAATTGCCAAATTGTTTAGAATGATTGGAATATTTTAGGCATTATTTGAAAACCTTTTTTATGTATAATTTACTAATAATTAATAAATAATGTGTATCTGAAAACTCGATGGGTGACGACAAACTCTAATTTATATCCTTCCTAAATTTCAAGGATTTGTAATAAATGCCTTATTTTTTAAAATATATTATTAATAAATAAAGTAATTTTATTTGCTTTGTTTAATCTAAAAGCTCTAGAAACATGCTTAGTTAAGGGTACTCAAAACTTATTTTCAATAGTTGTAGAGAACTGTGATAAAGGGCGCTCAGTAGATCGACTGCAATGTACAGGAGGGCTGTCATAGACACATATATTCCAGTAATAGGGGATCCCTGAGCAAGGGTACTCAGTATATGGAGTCCAACACGAACGAAAATTTTCTTATAGACAATCCAAAACCTTAAATCTTTTGCCTTTTAGAACTCATTTGTTGATAATCTCTGGCTCGCTTCAAAATGGTTTGGGGCGTGATCAATGTTCGCAAAATCGAATCGGAACGGTAAACCAGACATGGGCCTGGAAGCAGTTTAATCGGCGTAACTGGTAAACCAGCCGATTCTACAACTTTAATCGGGCAAGTCCCGGGTGGTCAAAAATGTGTTGAAAAAAATACAAAAAAAATCTACTAAAATATGAAAAGCATATAAAGAATGGTTAAAACAAAACACATTCAAATGGAGTTGAAAATTAATGAAAAAAATGGATTTTAACTCATTTTATATTTTCTAAGGGCTATTTTTAAAATTTTCTAAAAAAGATGGGAAAATATAAAAGTGAGTATTAATGACCAAAACAATTTTTAAATTTTACGATAATGTAAAGAATATTTAAAAATGCATTACAAATCAAATTCCTTATTTTTAAGAATTTATATACATTTTTTTGATTTTTTTTTTTTAAAATACCGGTTGATAACCGGCCAAAACTGGAACCGGCCAGTGGACGGTTCCGATCTAACTGGGTGGTTAGCGGTTAGATCAGGCGATTTTGCGAACAATGGCCATGATTCTTGTAAGTTTTGAATCTTGATTGCAAGTTGATGGAACCGTGATCCCAACAAGGTAGGGATCTCGAATCCTATTGGATAGGAGTACGATTCCCAAATGGGAGGAATCCCATTTCATGTGATATGCATGGTATGGACAGCGATTTCGTCTATAGGAATCATTTGGCTGCCGTCTATTTTGTGGTTTTGATTCCGGAAACGATTTGAAATCAAGGTATTTCTAACTATAATGAAGTAGCCACACCGGTGGCTCTTCTCAAGTTGTGGAACTGAGAGGAGTCATTTGCCTCTCATAATTCTTCATAGGACATGTAGAAAAAAATGAATAAAAACAAAGAAACATAAACTAGAGGATGGAATTTTTACCCATTTTTCTTGAAGGTAAAATGTAAAATAAAAAGAGGAATAGGGGTCGTAAAATAAATAGTAGAAAAATAGAAAGAATATGTTTGGTACATGTAGTGATCTGGGCTTCTAGCTTTGGGCTTTCTTTTAGCTGAAATAAAGGGGAGAGACATGGCTACTGTTCACAATACATTGATGGAAGACAAGAACAAGATGATTAGGATAGGATCACGAAAAATAAGTTTGTGGAGAAAGCCAAAGCGAGTGGCTGGCCTAAGGTAGTTTCACTATAACTCATAATCCAAAAATCACATATATTAAATTTTGTTAGAATTGCATTTCTCATAGTTAAGAACTTGTGTCATGTTATATTTGTTATTGGGAAAGGTTTCTATACTTTCCCTACAACATATAAGATATATGCTTTCCCCCCATCCAGCCATCCAATTTTAGATCAAGTGAGCTACTCATCGTTTAATCTAGATCCGATGTATTTTATTTTTAGTTTTGTTTTTACAAATTGTATGAATATGAAATTTGTGTATGTGTCATCTTGTCAATGGTGCACACCTAAAAAAATATTAAAAAGATTTTTTGATAAAATATAATGACCAAAATACCCCTTGAAACTTTCAGGGGTATTTTGGTTATTTTATTTCATTGATAATAGTTTTTTAATATTTTTTATAAGTGCGAGCTTAAGAGGAGTGGACGCCCAAGCTTTGGTGTCAAAATAATTTGTATAAAAAATTAAAAATAAATCAGTGTAGAGACATGACATTGTGATTGGGACCATCTCAGCCATCCATTCAGAATGGAAGGTTGGATAAGGGGAAGCATATAAGTTTTATGCTATAGGAGAAGCATAGAAAGCTTGCCCTATGTTATTAAACATATTTAAACTCAAAGATAGTTGGTAGGAACTAGAGGTGAGGAATACATAATACATAGCGATCACTAGAAAATAATGCATTGTTGCTAGGAACTTGAACGACAATTATGTCCCCCTAGACAGGGGAGTAGTGATTTTATACTTGAACAACCATGGTTCTGTATGTAAATAACTGTGTGATCTTTGGAAGAGGGGAATGATTGTTTTGATGATATCTCTCTTGAAACATAGTTATACTGTCAGAGCAGTGTAGTGATTATTCTTCATAACGTACATTCAAACAAAAACCTTGCAAGGGCCCAATGCAGTTTTCCCCTGAGCAGGCCCCATGGGAGTCCTTTCAAACTTATAGTGAAGGTGATCTTTTGAAAATGGTTTTCATAAATGCAACTCCTTTATATGGATTGGCAATTCTTAAATCAAAATGAAATAGTGAATACAAGAAGATTACTAGTTTAACATAACAAGGTCAAGCTGTGTATCAAATTGATGGAATCACTCCTCTGACTAGGCATTGGCAATTGAAATTGAGAACTCTGAAGAAAATAGACACAATAACTTGAAGGGAGAGTTACTCTTTCTTTGCAGGGTTCCTGGGCTTCTCCAGCATGGTGCATGCTGAGATGATATTTAAAGCATTGTGACTCAAGGACTTGTTCCCTTTCTATATCACTTAACAAGAACAAGGTTAGAAGTTAGATCCTAAAGTCACATGGTCAATCTTTGTTCATAATGGGCTCA